CATTGCTGTTATTAAATTGACCAAATCATTTCTCAGCAATAACAACCGTCAATAGATAAAATTTTCATTTATCACTACGTCACTTCTTTTCTCTTTCTTCAACAAGTTCAATATATTGTTCGTGAGTCAACAGAGATTGCTTTAAACTTTCCAAGAGTTTTATATTCGGCAATATTATAGCCAAATATCCACCTTTATGCGGTGGTCCCTTGAGAAGTTGCGGATCCTCTGACAACGCCTCGTTAACTTCCACCAACTTTCCTATCATACAGCACTTGATGACGTATGTTTGCCCGTCCAGGCACGATATGGTACAGACATTCGAGTTAGTCTGCAATGGTTGCGCGCCGTGTTTACCCTTGCCCGAGACTTTATTTAAGGATCTATCCAACTTGTCGCTGACCCTAAAGTCAACCTTCTCTATACCTTTGTTGCTTCGCAAAATCACATGACTAGGCGCCAAGGACAGCATGCAGATACGATTACTGTGAATCCATACGCACATGTCGTCTCCAGGCGATTGTACGTCCGTTTTGTAATAGGGGGTAAAATAGCGATCGGTAACCGTAGGAAAATATCCGTTATATTGCACCTCGTCTAACATGTCGGTAATATCCTCGTCGGGAGGAAACGTGAACGACTCGTCGTCGCTGTCGACGGTCGCCGAAGCCTCGTTATCGCTATCCACTGATCTCTCGTGCTCCTCCTGTTGAGAAATCTCTTTCGCATCAGAAATACCTTCGGCCACATTTTCCCGTACGTCGTCTTCTTCCTTCTGATCGCACGATCTCCTTTCGTCGTTCTCAGATTTCATTCGTTTGGTCTTCGGCCCGTCGGCCTCCGATATCAGATTCATGCTTAGCTCCAAGGTTCTGGATTAGCGAATGTATGTACAATTCCAGTCGTTCTGATCTGCCGTTGTCGCAGGCAACACAGCAATGGTACAAAAATCAATTCCAACAGTCCTTGGATAATCGAATTACTCGTTGAGAACTATTCGTGCGCGACGACTAATCGCTAGTTTCTTGCTGCGCCGGTTTCCCCGTCTCTAACCTCTTACGTCGGAGTTGCGCGCTTTCCGCCCTGCGAATCTCTCGCTGCAACAAACGGCGGGGCAAAAATCAGTTCAATTCGGTTTAATTCGCGCGAGATGACGGGACTCACTTGTTTCTTTATGCATTCGTGCATCTCCCGCTGGATGTGCTCGCAGTAGCCCAGAAACCTTCGGTACGGATGCTGCAAGTATGTACACAGAGTGGTTGAAAAAGGCACATGGCGAAACTCACGAGCGCGACATTACCTCATTCTCGCAGTCCTGAAATCGGTAAAATATCTCGTTACAGGCGGCATTGTGCGTGGCCAGCGATCTGTAATTCATATCTCTGCTTTGGCGAAAGGGGTCCTTTGCAAAACTACTCGTATTTCGTCATTACGCAACCGCGCGATAAACGCTGACTTGCCGGCAGACACCGACACAACCAAAAATTAAAGTTTTACTAATTGTACTATATTAAAGATCGACAATTTTATGAAAGTTACGTTATTCTTTTAATAAAAGTATGTTATTTGTTTTATTAATATTCTGTTAATTAAATTAGCAAGATTATTCTCAATTAATGCTGCTGTGTAGCTGTGTTAAAACTGATGCTTAGAATAATACAGTATATATGTCTGTCATTGTAGTATTTTTAAAAGCGTGTTTTATTTAGATTTTTGTCTTAATAATATTTAGCTAATTAGATCGTTTTTCACATCTATTTTTATACAGTTAATTTTTAATTCTTCTTCAGCCGGGTGTGCGCATCGCTAATTGGTCAATGTAGCATAGAACCTTCTGATTGGTTCATCCGGTGAAAAAACTCCAAGCTCCGATTGATATGAGTGGTTGTGATCAATTTAAACTGTTGTAAAAAAAAGTAATTAATCAGACTACGAACAAAACGGATTAAAATTAAACTTATTTAATTGATTGAACCGATTCGCAATTAATCCTTAATCTCTAAAGGCCGTATTACACTATGGGATTAATTTTGTTATCTCGATTACGGTTGGAGTAAGGCGCGTGTCGCGTACAGTGCCATGGAAACTCAGCCTAACGGTTGACGTTTGCGGGGACTGACCAATCAGCCGGCAAGCGGCTGCGCTCCGATTGGTCAATTCGCAAACTGCCAATCGAGACCGCCTTTACATTACGGATGGCGCTCTCGTCGCGCTTCCCCGGGAACCGATAATACTCGCGACTGACGACGCTTGGCCGGCTTGGCGCCTTCTGCCGTATCGCGGCTCGCAGCTGCAGTGAGCGTCGGTGTACGTAAAATGGCGGACGGTGACATTGATTTGTACGCCGACGATCTCGAGCAAGATTTCGCGCAGGTAATTCGCATTTCTCTTTGATAGCAATTAAAAGTACAGGACCGCGTTCTTTCTTTCTCTCTCTCTCTCTTCCCGTTCGATCGGAAGGAAATGAAGGAACGAGCCGCGCTCTGACACTGTTCACAGTTCACACGCTTCGACGATCGCGACGCGCCATATCGTGCCGCGCCGCAACTGTGTGAGAGCGAACGAGCGAACTGAGCGATCATCGTTCGGCGTCGATTCCGCGCGCGGCCCGAGACCGCGGCTGAAGTGTGTCGGCGTCATGGTGGACGGGCGACCGTCGCTAACGATCGGCTCGCGTCGCTGATCTCCCTCATCGTGAACATTTTACTGTGTGCCGTCCCTCCTCCCCCCGCGCGCACGTCCGGCACGTCGCTCGAGCCGGCGGCGGGCGACTACTCCGAGGAACCGGAGGAACGAACGCCGAGCGGCCGCGTGCGCGCGCCCGCGCGCGCGAACGCGAACGAGCGTACGAAACCTACTGCGAACGGAACGAACGAGCGAATTAGTTGTAGCGAGCACGCATATACAAAGACGAGAGAGCTTCACTCCAAGAGTGTTACCTCCTTCTTGTTGCCGCGCAGTTGACCGATCCCGCCTGTCTAGCTAGTGCCTGCCTGCTGCCGTCGATCGCGCGCGTACCCGTGTACCCGTTCCCCGGAGCTAAGCGCTAAAACAGTAATACGGGTTCGCAACAGGAATCGACCGCAAAATGGTGCTAGCGGTAAGGCGAATATCGTGTTGTTAACTCTTTCACTCTTTCGTTCCTTTCTCCCCCCCCCCTTTACCCCTTTTTTCTGACCTTCTCCCTCTCTCGCCATCCCCCTACGCCCGCTTCCCCCTTGACTCTTATGATTTTCAACCCCTCACACGCGGCACGCATATATCCTCCCTCACATGCAAACACACACGCACACACCCACACACATATGTACATAGACGTTGCAGCGTATCGCACTGCATGCACGATTACATTTTCTCTTTGCATTCTCTCTTTTATTGATTTTCCATTTCCTATTTTCGAATGTCTTTTTCTCTCTTGTGAAAAAAAAAAGCGCGGCTGCTTAGAATATCGCGGCAGGGATTGAAACCGATTGTAATTTAATTTTTTTTATGCTCAGAATCTGGGATCCCGAGAGATTGGATCTTTAATCGGTCCTTTTCACGCGAGATAATGTTTGCATACAACTTTTGTGTGTGAGAAAAAATTCAAGTGGCGACAGTCGGCGACGAACTACAGTTGAACGTACTTGTAACTGTACTTACTTCTTTTTGGAAAAGTGTTTATTACATTTTTTACATTCCAGATAAAGTATAAATGTAGCTGCATTTTGCTAAAGCGAGGAGACGCAAGGAATAATTAAAAAACGAAATAGCACATGTCGCATATATATGTATAAAAACGTAGATCCTTGCACGTCTGTGGTATCAATAGTCTGAAATTGAAATTGAAATTACAGTGGGTTCAATCTCTGCTTTATCCTCACAATGCAAAAAGTCTGTATATCTGCATATCTGTTACAGTCGAAGTGTACGATTGGTTGATCGGTTGAACCACAAGGTGCGCAGGAAGTCGCGTGTAATAAGAAAATGGTACATCTAAACGTTTCTTTACATATTGATGTAATTTATTTTCATAAATTAGTTTATAATGCTGGGCTCTCGCAGGGGCTGTCTTGAGATCACGTTGTTATGTTGAGCGTTATTCCTCGATCTTGAAAAAAAATCCAGTTTTTCAAATTTGTGAACCACTTTAAACATGGATTGCCTTTGTTAAACCTTTTCGCGGCTCCCGTTCGTGATACTTGATGCTCAGATAACAAACTGGACTCAATGCGTTCCTGTAAATTTGATGGCACTTTTCTTTTTATTTTCAAAGAAAGATTTTTTTTAATCAGAGATTTTATTAAGCTTCTTTCGGTCAAACATAAGTTACACAGCTTTAACAATGACCATGATAAAGAAATAGCATTAGACTAAAGTAATAAAGTATTTTGTCTGGTGTTGCATTCTCTGACCTCTGAATATTTTGTACAATTATTTTGCACTTTGACTGTAACATATTCAGTACGAGTTCAGTGCGTGTTTTAAATAAAAATTACAAAATTCTACCATGGAACATTTGCATATAACATTTGTCGATTAATCTGCCTCTCATCTAAAATACAATGGAGATTACTATTAATATCACTAACATCGCGCGTTTCTTCCAACGTAAAATAAGTGTTTTGTTATACGTTTCTTTATATAATGCTCGCCTACGCATCTGTTTCAGGACGAATTCGCGGGTGATGGCGTTGATCTTTACGACGACGTGATTGCCGCTCCAGCAGGTGGCAATGGCGGCGTCTCTTCCGGAAATACCGGAGAGGGTGGTGGCGATACCACGTCCCCGAATGAGGAAACTAATGGGAACGCGCCTTATCACCAACTTGGCAATAATATACAGCCGAATCAAATTGGAAGACGACATCAGTTATACGTTGGCAACTTGACATGGGTATATACATGTGCACAGAATTAATTCTAACGTTTTAAAGATTTCTTCTTTTCCTACCACTCTTCTCGACAGTGGAATCGTTTACTTTCAATGTATAAATTAAAATATTATCATATACATTCCAGACAAAGAGACTACATTCCATAAACTAATATTTCTTAAACTTTAATATGATATATATTTCCTTCTGCTTTCTATATTTATGATTTTGCAATATGGATAAATCATATTCTTTTTTAGTAGAAAACTTTAAATTTTACTGTTCTTTTTGCACTGAAAATTATTCAATAACAATAAATTTTATTTTTAGTGGACAAGTGACCAAGATATAACCGATGCTGTTCAAAGCATTGGGGTGTCTGACTTTGTGGAAGTAAAGTTCTTTGAGAACCGTGCCAATGGCCAATCCAAAGGTTTCTGTGTGATATCCTTGGGCTCAGAGCAGAGCATGAGAATATGCATGGAGAGGCTGCCTAAAAAGGAGTTGCATGGGCAAAATCCCGTAGTAACTTTTCCTACTAAACAGGCTCTCAATCAAGTATGTATTATTATGCGTTGTGACAAAAAGATGGTATATAAATTAATTTCGCAGTGTACACAAATAGTACGCTACGATATTCACATTAACGGGTACACGTGAAACTTATACACAACAATCTATTTTTTATGTGTTCTCAGTTTGAGTCGCAGTGTAAGACGCGACCTGCTCCGGCTCCGCAGCAGAGTCAGAGCCAACGTCCTCATAACCCACATCAACATCAGCCCCCAATGCCACCTCATCAACAGCATCCCCAACACCCTCAACATCCGCAACATTCGCAACAAAATCACGGTCCTAGAATGATGATGGGTCCTCCACAAGTAAGGCCGCAAAGAATGCCGCCACCCGGAATGGGTCCACCAGGGCCCGGTGGACCAGGTCAGCAAGGTCCGCCACGTATGCATGGTCCGCCGTTAGGACCAGGCCCAGGACCGCATCATCCGTTGCCTGGTCATCCTAATCAAGGCCCGCCACCTGGCTATCAGCAGGGACCGTGGAACGGACCGCGTCCAAATGGTCCTCCGGGACCGCCTCGAGGACCTAGTGGAGGTCCACCTCAACAAGGGCCACCTGGACCAGGTCCCGGTCAGCATAGACCCCCTGGAATGGTATGTACGAACAGATTTTTCTGTTTCTTTAACAGACAAAATATACTTTCAACCGTATTGGACTATATTTTCGTATCCATTTAGCGTTATGTTTAGCGCTAAATGCGATTAAATTTGAAATTTATTATTTATGACAAGATTTGTACGCCCTGAATTTTATTCATAGCTAACGTCTTGAAGCACATGCACTACAACCGCAAAAAAAGAATATAAATGTAACAAAATATAAATAAATTTTATTTCTTTTTGAACAATTGGTTAGATTATAGGGTACTATCTTAATAACAAAAATATATTTTGAAGACATGAAATAAGTTAAGAATTATGAACTTAAATATGTTAAAACATAATTACGTAAGATTGATCACACGGAGAAATTTGCGTTGTACGATAGTATTTACGACTTTAACGATCGCTTTTGAAATCGTTATATAGTATTGTTTTAGAAG